TTGATAATTTGTGATTTTCTAACGATTTTATAGAAATCAATGTGACATTTTAGTCCTTGATTCGTTCCATATCTATCCATCTAACCTGTCACCATCATTCTCGTGATTGTATATTCACATTGACGTTCAAGAAGAATCTCATCAACTGCTACTGCTTTTTCATCAATGTTGTTATAATTTTGTAAGAGAATATCAGATGGGATCCTACTACAAGTATAGTTCAATAGCTCCCAGTTTGCGCATTTATAATCATAAATGGTCCGCGTTATTTTAGTTTTACGTAGTGCTTGTGTTTTAACATCGAAATGGATGAAACTATGATCACTTTTGTCAAGCTTAGGAACTATACGCACATTACGAACGAAGGAGATGTCATAAGTGATTACTAAATCAAGGCAAGTATCTGAAATCGGTCGTGTTACACCCATTACCAGTTGAGAGAGATTGTGTGATTGTAAGAAAGTATTTAACATAATACCCTCTGCTCTGGATACAACATCGTTCCCACTCCAATCCTGGTAATGCGCATTAAAGTCTCCAATAAAGATGAGGATATCCTTACTGTATCGCGACTTTAGAAAATTATTGATTAAGTTTTCAAGATGCGTTAGAAACAGCTGCATCTTTTTAGGATCGGACTGAGGTGGTCGGTAGCAGGAGAAACAGTCACATGCTTATGTGAAGAGAGTGTAACACGCGCACAGAGGATCTCAAACGATAATTCTTCAAATTGTGTTAATCGTGCTACGTGATAATCATTACGAGTGAGTACCGCACAGCCACCACCCTTTCTATTACGATCCAAGCGCATAGGAGGGTGATAGCGGGGTAAAGTAATTTCAAAATTGTTTATTGTTCCATCCAACCAAGTTTCGGTTAAAGAGAGAAAAGTAGGTTGATATAACGACACATACGCTTTCACAGAATCGATTTGTGATGTGACACTGCGTATATTCATAGAAGAGAAAGTCAAGTCTGTTGTCACTTTGTTGTTTTGACTAACACTCATGGTGGAAAAAATATTCGGTAAAATACAAGACACTTGACAACACATGGTAAGAGAAAAAGACAAAATGAATTGTCGTATTTCAGATAGTTTAGTATATTAGAAGAAAGAGAAGACGAAACGAAGGTAATATTCACTGAATGACTAAGACTGTTTAAGACGATTGACTACATCGAACGATGACAAATGTAAATTATTACCTTGACCTTGATACAGCATTACGCTCCCATTCCGTGTGAACACTTTCTTTTTATCCAGATGACGACGAGCATAAGTAAACAATTGATGATTCAACGAGGATAAATGCTCGTTTATAAAAACGTGTTTATTAGTACCTTTGCCCAGATCTCTACGTTTTGAATATAATTGCTGCCTATCTGAGTAACGTACAAAAGCCACAATAATGGGTGAATGTTGTTGTTTACTATGTGATCGTAGGCGATGAGTTGCATATAGATCTTTAATATCCAAATTAACACCAACTGATTTGGCCAAATCTAATACAACTTGTGATGTATTTTCTCCCTGTGTTAGAAGAATACCATGTATTATTAAATCACGCCGCTTTGAATATTGATCTAAAACATCTAATTTCGATTGAAATTTGACTGCACGAGCATTTGTTTGTTTTAATTCCGCTTCTAATTGTTCGATATGATTCACGTATTGTTTCAATTGATTTTCTATAATACCTCCAATTGCGTCAGTAAACGACTTTGATGTTATTATCATCTTTGTCATTTCATTAATAAAATTTGAAGATAACAAAGACTGCTGTAATTGTAAACCAATTACATCCGATGCAACCGTTGTGATCGAAGTCGTATCGAATTGCGGTGATGAAGACATTTTTGATTGTTTATTAACTTGATTCTCAGGTGATGTAAGATTACGTTTTTTGCCAGTCATTAAATTAATCACAATAATAATCAAAATCACTCAGAGTTATAGCAATTTTACTGAAAACGGCGGAAAATAGGGTGAAAGTAAGTTTGAAGGTGAAACTTTCTGACAATATTTCACCTACTGTTTTTTTCATTATAAACTTCCATGATTATATTCCATGATTACATTCATATGTGTCCAGAGGCATCATGAGGTGATAGACGGTGAAATTCGATAAATGTGGCATGAGGAGTAAAAGATGCTGCAACTGGATAAAGACTGCGATGAATTATTCGTACTCATCAGTTTCAATTGCGTTCAGCGATTTTGATAATATATCGCGGGTTGACTAAAGGACGGGTATCGATTTTATCGGAATGTTTTATGTATAGAGAGACACAGAATGTTCTTTGCTTCAAAATGAACAACAATATTTTGTTTTAAAAGGTTGCCCTCATAGGTTTATTGGGTAAATACTGGATCGATATCTTTATTTTTATCCATAGTGATTGATTATATAAAAAAATCACAGTTTCTTTCACAAATAGAAGTTTAGGAATAGTTTGTATTTAGAAAAATGCAGAATTGAAAGGGCTTCAATTAGCCAATATTATGCTGCGCTAGCCACACAAAGTGCTATTAGACGAATACAAAATATTCTAACATGGTAATAAGCCCGGGTGTAAGTATATCCGATAAATTGTGTAAATAAAGATTAAGTTGTTTTAGAGCTGGACAGGCACGATTAAATGATCCATTCACATGTAGACAACAATATGGTAATATTGAAGATAATCTCAGTTACCTTTGGAAGGAGACTCACCATGGACCACTACTGGTTTCTTCATTTGTAAGAAAAAAGTAAATAAAATAAAGAGTAGATTATTCTGAAATAAACGGTACTGCACTGTAAAAAAATTTTATTTTCTACTTTATAGAAAATTGACCTAGAAAATCATGGGTGATTTTAAAGCAGCTATAATATCGTCACGTATATTATACTGAAGGAGAAAATCAGCATTTTCTAGAAAGTAGAAAATCGCCTTGAATTTCTAGATAAAAGATCGGTGTAGATTTTATGCAATAAGAAAA